AGTAGTAGTAGTAGTAGTAGTAGTAGTAGTAGTAGTAGTAGTAGTAGGTGTAGGTGTAGGTGGATAGACCAGGTCCAGGTTCAACTCCAATTGGAACAGAAACAAATCTCGAGAAAAGGCTTTTCAGAAAAGGTTTGAATGTGTTTGAATCATATCCCTTGTTCTGAGTACCCCATGGGTCAAACAAGTGAAAACACCACCGATGCCCCTCCACTCCTCGCCGAAGGTGCCAAGGCAAACGCTCTCGTCTCCCATGGCGACGCGAAGACCGCTGAGAGGCGACCGACTCTCTGGGGCCTCGTGGGCGTTTCAGTCCGTCTCCATTGGTTAGTTCATGTTCTGTTTTTCACAGAAGGCATGTCAACAGGCAAAACATATGCACGGGCAAGCCTTGGAGGTTCCACTGGGGCTTTGATGGTATTGGAACTGTATTTGATTAATAGCATTGTATATTAATTATGATGTTGTATGTATTGCTATACAGATGTTATGCTTTCAGTTGGTGAAAGTCTATCTTCACAGAATTCTCATGTCTGTCCCTTTTCATGTGTCTTTTCGGCCGGAACGAGCATTGGAACGGACGAAAAATAATTGCAGCACAATCGTGTCAGTCTTGGCTCAAGGGTTTTGGGGGTATGTTCCAATAGTCCCCACTCACACGAGAGTATATTATATACAGTATATATATATAACTATCTTTTGCACACTTGGTCATGCCTGCATCTTTGGTTTGATTGGTGATCTCAACGTATTCTCAACGTTTTTCCAAGCTTTTCACTCACCATTTGGGCCACACGTGGAGACCCCATCTTGTCTACAGAAAACCGTCGTCTGCACTGCCCCCCTGTCACCTGATCTACAGTATACCTGTCACAAAGTGATCAAGTCTGGGAAAACAACATCTGGCACAGCATGTGTAGCACTAGTAACAAGAAGCTACTAGGAACGAAGGGCATCACTACTATAGGAACAAACAGCTACCAGTAGCTGCTGGCATTACTACTAGGAACAAGAAGCTACTATATAGTAACCAGGATCAATCCTCATGTCTCATCAATATCCGAAGGCTTTTCGCCGTTTTCAGAGATGGAGGTTGATGCGAGGGGGGACCTTCCTCGGGACAGGTTGACCAACACTCCCTTTGGATCCCGGGGTCGTCCCGGTTCGAGCCATACACCCGTTTCGGGGTCTGAGGATTTGACCTCTGAAACCGGTGCCGGGCGGGGAAGAACGAACGAATCCTTCGGTCCACCTGCGGCTGCTTGTGCGCGGGCAAGGTGGCAATCGCCTGGAAAGCCGTAGTGCACGGGGAAAGCTTTGGGTGGAGACTGAGGAAGAGATTCCAGTGCAACGATTTGGGGAACTCTTAAGGGGCACGGATTTTGCATTTGTCCAGTGTATTCAGGGTCAATTCTTCCATCCTCCAGATCCGAGGATCAGTGGAATCTTGACCAGGGAAAGCCACCAACATTCATCATGTTGACTGCTCATTCACAACCCACCTCCTGCCTGGATGGTTCTACATCTCCAGCTTTGGGGGGGTGATTCATCCAAGATGTTCGGTCTTCGCTTGGAAGACGAAGAAATCGACCCTGCTTCTTCCGTGCCTCATCGACCTTCTCCTCCAGTTGACCCTGCTCCATGTTCGCCAACCTGGTGAAGATCGTTCGCGGCCGAACATCTGACCGACTAACCTGAGAATTGACCGGTGGAAGACGATTTTCCTCTACAACCCAGTGGTTTTGAGGTTCCATGTGGTCCTCTGCGGGGGAGTAGATCGTTGAACGATTCGTTCTGCCACTTACAACCATATATGATGTGCACAATTGAACGATTTTATTACATAGATGTGCACAATGATCTGCATCACCTCCTTCAGCTATAAACTGCAGTATATTAAATTGCTTGACTTGCGAATCAGTGACTCCAGAATAGTTTCAGAAAGTTTCAGAACAGTGACAAAGTGAAATTCTTACCCATGCATATATCGCAAACATAAGCTGTGAATGAGGGAAATCACGGAAAGGAAGCGAATCACCAACTTCCCATAGGCCAGAGCATGACACCACCCGACAGCATTTTTCCCAAAGGCTTTGCAACCCCGCTACCAATTGCTTGGCAAACCATTGGAACTTGAACCCAAATCCTGGGGGCTATGACCCCACAAACAAAAAGAACACATGGGACTGCATGTTCTTTAAAATTGAACTGGGGGCGACCAGGATATGGTATGTTGAACAAGGTCAAATTGGAGCTTAATGTCTTTTGCTCAATTGGCTGCTCGCCAGAAAATCTGAAGCCAAAAGTCTGTTCCAATATTGTCTTGTTGCTGTCGCTCTTGTTGTTTCTGGGCCGGCGGGTGGGCACGTCCGACCAATGTAAGCATCAATTCATACATCCCCCCGAACCAGAAGCAGCAATAAGTAGCACTTCTACAGCAATCCTGCTGGACGGTCGCAAGAGCTTCTCACTGCATGGTGTTTCCGGAGCCCCGGACAATGATAGACCTACCAAATCCTACGAGAACAAGTCGAGGAGCTTCTCTTTCTTGACCCTCTGCAAGCTCTTCAAGAAGGCATGCGCCACATCCTCACGGGTCGAGACCGACCTCGACGACCGAGGTGAACAGCGAGGTTTGCTTTAAACAGTTCCAGGAACCCTTCACCAATCATCACCAATCTGGGAAATCAATCACCACCTTCTATTGTCGGAATTTGTGTGGGATTTGCCAAATCCCCGGTGAGGGATAACAAAAAGCTAATATCATCAAACACAGTCTAAAACACATTCGACGGGGATAAAACAATAGAAACAAAACAAAAGGAAGCAAAAGCTCCCAGTGAACAATGAAAGAAAGAGATAAAAAGAGACTAGGGAAAGGACAGCGGCAGCAGGGCGACCCACAAAAGGATCTGCCCCCCCCCCCCGCAAAGCAAAGCAACGCACCAGAGGACAATGAAAGGATGCCTGCAACACAAAATCAGAACACTTAGGCCAGGCCGTGCAATATTTGGTGTTGATATGCGATGGATTACCAAAAGTCTGCCGTGGCAGGCCCAGTGGCACTGGATGGGGTTGCCAACTGCAGCCACCAGACTCAGAACGCACCACCAAATACTGTATATAGATCATCGCGCACTACACACCCTATCGCCCCATCAATGAAGGGTTCATCCACCAAAGATACCAAAAGACAATGAAAGGATGCTTGCGTGCAGATTTCGTGGCGCTGGAGGGGAGTTGGGGGGACCGAATATCAAACGCCACCAGCCTCAAAAGGCACTCAAAGTAGATCATCATCGAAAAGTAAACACCCGTGCCCAGAAGTGACGCAAGGACCAAGGCAACCAAAGGAGCAGGAGACCAATGGGGACCAAAGGAGCAGGAGACCAATGGGACCAATGGACTAGGGGATGAATGGACCATGGGACCAAAGGAGCAGGGGACCAATTGGGACCTACTCAGGATTATTTTGTCTATTGATCTTGTTCAATGTTATTCGACCATGTTATTATATGTATAGTTTATTTCGATCTAGATTCTAGATGTCCGCCCATATATATAGATCGAGTCTTGCTCGATGCTCCAAAGGAGATCAAGCACCTCCAACAGGCTTCTCAACCGAAAAAGGTTGACCCTTTGCAACTGCTATGGCAGCGGCCTCCCGCTGGTTACCCAGCTGCGAGCTGTACCAGGCCCCAGTGTTGGACGGATGAAGTTCGGTCTTTCTTTCGGAAGATCACCGTCGTGTGCTGTACCCGCCGTTAAAACACGTGCCGTGCGGTACCCACCCGGGCTTCACCTACTTGGAGTGCCACGGTTTCGCCAGCGCGATGGCGAAACCGTGCGTCACCTTGTTTTGAGATCAGCACTCCAGCAGTCCTAAACAAAGGACAAGGAGGCTGAGATATCCGGCTGAGATGCTTTCTTTTGCTGTTCTACCCCAGATGGTCCGATCCCCAAACACTTGCGTGGTAGCTTGAGGATTGACCAGATGTCACCGTTTTTAACCAATGAGTGACATCCAACCCAATTCCTACAAGGAAATGTCCTGCGAGGTGCTCAAATCCACATCTACATGATGAGGAGCTAGAGTTGGCACTTCAACATGCTTTAACTCATCCAAGGTCTCCTGCGAAACACCAAGCCAATCACCAATGCCCATAGTCTCCCAGTGTGCCTGCGAAGCGGAGCGTACAGCGTCTCGCGTTCCGAGCAAGTCACATTGAAGGAATGAGATGATGGCAGATTGGACATCACTGACATCATCACTGGGTGATTGGACATCTGGGATGGGATGGTGATGGCAAATGGGATGGACATCGGACATCACCAGCCCGAAACGAAGAGTTTCCTTCAAGCCAGTCGTCCGTCTCATCTTCTGGGGAGGGTCGTCTGGAGGGTCGTACCAGGTCGCTTCCAGGGTTCCAGGTGGGTCACGACCCATCCCCAGTCGTTTCAGAGGTGAGAAATGGCACAGACCTCCCCCATGATGTCCGACTACATGGAGGTTCATATAAACCACCGACATTGGGGTCTGTGCCATCGTGCCATCGATATGCTGCCCAATGATGTCCTGATTTCGGACCAACCACCGGACCCGCGTTCTCGGACATCGGCCGATGATTTGGCACAGAAGGCAGTGGAGAAAGCAGTATGACTTCCACTGCACTTATGGGGCACGTATGATTTACAGTGGCTTCGGATTAGATGGCACAAACTCCAAGATGTATTTTAGATGGGGGAACCACCTTTTGGGGGTTAGCTCTCCATCTACTCTCCATCCACTATATACTTGAGCTCCCAGAAGCTCCTTGGAGTACGCAGCATATGACCTCGCCAAAGTTCAGAGTTCACGACTGGTCAAAGTTTTGGTCAAGTAACACAAAATATCCAGCATCTCGCAATCTTGCATCTTGCCTCATCAGGGCCTGAGAGGTCATAGAGGTTCTCCACGGTGATGGGAAGGATGGCATACTCAAACAAGCATGCCATCTCGAACCTGAAGAAACTGGGTCACGGCATCTTGCGCGCGATTTTCGCACCCTCTCTCGTCGTCTCAGCATTCAGACTTAATTGCAGGGAAGAACAATTGGACATGCAAACTTGGAAGATCATGTTGATTTACATGGCTTTTTCAGCACGATCCAAACATGCACACCTGCAATATCTTGCATGCAAATGCATGTAGTGGCCGTGGGAATTCACTCAAAACACCAAGATCACCAAGTCATGATAGCACATGGGCAATGCAACACTTGCATGAACCTGGAGCGCAAACTAGGCGCTTGCTTTGTAGCATGTCAGCAAGTGTACAAGACTGTACGGATCTGTACGGTGTATGACCTAGAGCTTTTGTCTGCTGCGCGGGCGGCAAAATGAAGGGTCAAGTCACTGGGTGCTTTGGAAACGTTGCAGTGTGAGATGTCTGAGACAAATAATCCACATGTGTATATTGCATGTGTTGCATTCTGGCTTGTCGTCTTGCGACGTACCTTCATACAAATCCATATGCTATAACACACACAACCACGTCCGTCTAGCACTCTAGATGCATCTACCACTAGCAAGCCCTTTCCGACTGTCATCAAAAAGAAACTGTGCTGTTTAAATGTGGGACAAACACAAGGTTAGAAAGTCCCACTCCCAGGTTGTCATGCGAATCATGGGTGTTATATAAATGGTTTTTAATGGTTGTAAGCTTCCTGTACGCGTCTATTCCTTGCTACTTGTCTTGTGGCCCCCATCCTTCAGCCTGCCCCAGCAGCCCTCCAACAACAGCAACTCACGCGCCCCCAGGAAAAAGAAGCTGTCACACGTGCCCGCTGTCCCAACATGAGTGAAAAACCTCCCAGTTTGACCTCCCGGAAGAAGGAACACAGGTTAATCACGCCTTGCGGACTGCATGAAGCGAAGCCGTCTGTCACATGTCCCTTTCTGGCCGTTGGACTTGGAAACCAGTGGGTATGGGAGATGAGTAAGCATCGACCTCATAGAAACTACCCGGCCCCATGATCTCTGTAGAATTATGGTGAACTTTTCTGGTAAATTAGCCGCTGCAGCAACCAGAGTGAATTTACTTAGCAAATGCCCTCCAGACCTCTCATTGAAATCCACGCCCACATGTACCTCGAGTGGGGCCCTTGGGTTCCCTGACTTGCACAGATCCGTGAGCAAAGGCAAATCCACGGATGTGGCAAAGTCGATGAGCCACACCGCATCCTGTCGTGCATGGCGACGCGACTGGCGACGCGGGAACCTGCAGGGGGTGAGTTGAAGGACTTCAGGGAGATGGGTGACCTCACGGATGCTGGAATTGAGGAGTGCAAGTGAAGAAGACCGGTGCTGTGTTACCTGTCATTCTAAGGACAAAATGCAAGTACCAAAAACTTCCAATTTCTTTCAAGCTGTGAGATCAAACTATATCAAATTGACACTGCTTTCGATTCAATGCTTTCGGTCTTGGTCTGTGATGGGACTCCATTGAATCTACTAAAACATTAATAAGCAATGGATAGCATATAACATATATATATAGCCTATAGCAGCTATAGCACATATAGGGACGTGCGTAACTAGCTATACGCCGACGCTTCCGCACATGCGCCATGAACCTGAGGCTTTCAGCCTCCTGGCGCCTTTGTTGTTTCCGGGGGGGCTCAAATTGCCTGATTTCAGGCTTCTATCGAGATAATCGAAATAGGACAACTGTTAACTTCTAAAAACAAAAAGATGCTGGTGTTCGGCCCAAGCTTAACTCAACCTGAAAGAGTGTTTTTTTTCCCGATGCAATCATCATGCAATTCGGCGCAGTCTGCAGACACCAGCGCGTAAAAACCTCGGCGAGAAACGCAGAAGTGCAATCAAAACAGAAGGCTCTCAAGACAGTATGCTTGCACTGCCTGTTCACAGGAGAGGGTCCAATCTCAATCAACTCATTTTTTTTGGCTCTCGCATTGCATCATGCAGTGGCCGGTTTGTAGAAAGACATGACCATTCCACAGTCCTTAAGGAAAAAAAACAAAGGTTCCATATTGGTGAAAGGATCAACCAATAAATGTGCTTGTGATAGCCCAAAAGGGGAGGGTCATTGACTGCAAATAACTATTCATGTAAGAAAGGTCACGCGCTAGGCCGGACCTGTCCTTCCGTGTCCGACGCCAGCTAGGGACTAGGGATCTAACATGCATGAATTTGAAGTCCACGAATTTGTGGTATTCGTGGTCTTTGGCCGGGGATTCCAGGTCTTTTTGGGCGCAACCAATTCGCTGAAAGACACACTAACAAACAAATAGCAAAATGTGAACTTAAGTTGTCCAGCTCACCTGGCTCGCCTGATGAGTCTTTGCAAAACATAGGAAAGTACAAGTACAATATGTTTTTTTCTGAGTTGCCGCCCGTTCCGGCCCGGCCCGGCATGACATGACTGGTACTAACGGACCAAGCCAGCGGAAAGCACAACCTCACGCCGAGTTAGTGGAGCAAGTGTTTTGCATTGGTGAGAGCTTTCTTCTTTTCTTTCTCCAATTTCTTTTGCTCTTTAGTCAGAGTTGGCAAAGACGTGGCCAACCCCGCACCTTCCATGGCCGTGCGCCTCTCGGTCAAAGCAGCTGGAAAACCAAATTCGAACGGTGTATCAGCACCCGAACAAGTTTCCTCAAAGGCCTGTATGCTCCTTTCCTTCTTTGTTGGAATGTACTTGACCATGGGGAGTTCATCATCTGATTCAGCGATAGCCGTTGTCACTGCGAGATTGTTTGGAGTTAGCCTCAACCGACGATGAACAAATATAAATAAACGCGAAGTCGAACCCCGAACCCTGACAAATCAGACACAGCAAACAAGAAAAAAGAAAACATAACTTGACATCCCCTTCCCCCCATCCGACCTCCAAAAAAAACAAAAAGCAGACAATAGGCATGTCTATGCAAATGAAAGGTGCACACTCACGTTGAACTCTATCTTGATGTATGCATCGGTCGGTTCAGCATCAGGCACACGCGTCAATTCGAAAGAAGGTGAGAGAGCCTCGACTCGACTTGATTTGATGTGAATACTTGACTTGTCATGTTCAGGACTCAAAGAAACCATCTTCTATTGGACTTAAAGCCTAAAGTTTAGCAACTAACCTTAACCTTTTTATGCAGATCCATGTCCCGCGACATTGGGACATTGGGGCACTAACGGCTGAATACGGCTGATACTGGAATGTTTCTTTCTACATAAATACAATAACTTCAGGAATTTCAAAGTTTATTCATCGTTTTTAAGATTGATTAAACAGTGAGACTGTACAAAACAGTAGCAACGTGCAGCGCGCGCACAAAATGCAACGTCGAGTAGCGAGCTGACACACGACTTGGTTCTCGACCAAGGTAGCTTTATCCTTTTTGTTGGTTGTTCCCACGAGCCAAGCAGGAATCACAACTGGACTTGTCGGACTCGGGTTTGGCGGCGCATTCATGAAAAAGGGAACGTCAAACACCTTGCAAAGAGGAATGGAGTGCGCCGTCCGAACAGTGCTCACAGAACCCAGAAATGGGAATTCCAGACTCCTTTGCAAGGCCTCATTGTTCTTAAGGTCTTTCACCTGCAGCATAAGCCGTTGGCTTTGGACCTTCTTTGCCACCTTGGCCACTTGCTGAGCATTGCCGCTGGAAAAAGCTTTGGACTCCTCATCAGCATCACCAAAGTTCCACTTGATGCGTTCAGCGGATGAATCCAACTTGCCCCTGAACTTGTCCTGAAAGGGACAACAATGATGGATTTGAAGCTAAGACACACTGACACACCGCTAAACACACAACTGTCACAAGTGTGTGTGTGTGTGTGTAAATAGTCTAAGTCTAAACAGCAAACCCCATCGCCCAATCCCAGAACCCCTGTCCCAGAGCAAGAGCTCCATTTGCTTCTCGAGCAACTTGATATCAAGGGCACTGACATGGCCAGCCTCAAGCTGACCCACACCGGTACTGAATAGCGATTTGTAGTCTGCGGATTCCTCAACTAGTGCCATTCCGCATAGTCCCAATTTGCTCAATGTCATGCTTGACGGGACCTGGTTCTTGGCCTTTCTCTTTGCGGACTTTGCGGCCGTTGCCTCGCCGCCGCCATCGGCCAGATCCTCATCCTCAGCATCGTTATCTTCTTCTGGCAAATGCGCACTGGAGCCAGCATTCTTGACAAATGTTTTGAGAAAGCTGTAGGCGCCTTCTTGTGTCTTGGAATTCAACAGGCTTGCCCAGTTCCTCGACCATGTTTCAGGACCTTAGCACGGCTAAGACCAGGTAGACAATGTGATGACAATGCGATGACAACTGATGACTGATGACAACAACACAAAAATCTACTACTACAAATGCTACTACCACCACCACACCACCACCCAAAAAATGAAAACATTCTGAATCGAACACTGGAAGACTTTGCAAAGCGTCGAACCCTGGAATCAACAATGCAACCTTGTGCGGTTTTGGGATAGCGCAAGCTGAAGCTGCTTGGTCTGCAGCCGCAGCAGCCGTTGCGTCGGTTTTCCCCTTTGAGGCTGCCAGCTTCATGGAATTCGTGATGTCAACCTGGAGTGAGCTGACAAGTAAGTTCACGCTTGGTCCAAAGGTAGTCTTGTTCAACTTGCCAAGGTCGCGGAGCATTGTCAGCGCGTACTGCGGCCTGAGCGAAATGAATCTCTCCAGCAAGTCCTTGCGGCTCAAGAAGAGCTTTTCAGCCTCTGGCACGAGCCCGAGTCGGACAACCAGCATTTCGCTCACATCTGCAGCCAAAGCAACCCACGATTGTGGCATGGCATCCTTCAAGCTGTCAAAGACAATTTGCAGAACCTGGGACAACGATGACTCTCGGGTGATGCTCTGGTTGAGTGCAAGCGCTTGCTTGGCCTCAATATTCACAGCATTCAGCATTTCACAGCAAGCAGGACACAGAACATACACAGAACCATGTAGCAAGCAGGTTTACTGTAATTGGATTGGACTGAAGTGAGTTTGATTCTGAATTCTGGCTGCTGGCTGCGTGACAATTGACTTAAACATTATTATTGAAAAATTAATGAAAATGAAACAATGAAAAGCACAATGTTCTTGAACTCGTTCAAATCTCTGTAGCGAAGGCCCCATGATATTCCAAGGGAAGTTGCAGCACGTCTTGTACAAATGTGTCCATACCACCCCGCACAGCAATTGGCACACCGAGCTTAATGCGAGCAAGGGCTTTTGCTTCATCCGATTCATCCTTCACATGACCAAGATGAAGCACAGTCGGGTCGGCACCCAGAACTTCTGAAATGTGTGCAGACAGGGACTGGGACGCACGTCCTGTTCCAGAGCCAGATGCCTGGGAAGCGCTAGCCACAGACATCTCACAAGCCGTAGCAATGAAAGTCGACATTTCTGTCCTGAAGCTTGAGTAGTTTCGGACAAATTTGCCGTTGATGGCAACAGATCCTGTGAAGCAAAACTCGAAAAAGCACGAGGCCGTATGCCCAAGGAGTGTGATCACGGATGTCTTGTAGGTTTGCATCGATCTCTGCCCGCCTTTGCAAGACTCACCCAAAGATTTCTCACACTTGGCAGAGACAGACATGAACAGGCACATGAAATCATCAAGCGCTGTCTTTGGACGTGCATGCTCTTCACTGGCACCATCCATTGGGTACACCAAAGCTGAAAAGGTCGCTTCCGCTTCCGTCGCCCCTTCTGCGATTTTTCCTTTTTGTCCTCGCCGACGCTTTCCCTTTCCCTTTCCCTTACCAGGTTGGTCTGATCCTGCTGCCCCTGCCCCAGCTTCTTCTTCAAGCTTCTTGAACACGGAGCTGGTTGCCATAGGAGTGATGATGTAGTTCATCACTGAAGCCGTCTCATTCCCAGGCTTGAGAAAGATTTGTGGAATGAGCCGCTCACCAGTTCCAGCATGGCGAGTTGGAACCTTCAATGCTTTGACCAGAGGAAATAGATTGCATTGCAGGTCACTAAACTCAACTCAGAAACTCAAAACTCAATACTAAGCCAGGTAAAACATACGTACATACATACATTCATACATACATACATACATACACTTATACACTTGGACTATCTTGGACCTTTTTCCGTTGAAACTGTTTGTGTAAGCGCTTGCAACTTCAATTACACACCAAACTGTGTTTCTGTGTTTGATCTGAAGCCAAGACACACAAAACTTGATTGCTTCTGTGATCAACACGCCGATATGTTCCCGTGGATAGAACCGAGCGCACTGGCCAACGATGATGACAACAAGCTGGTGGAACATCATGATAATGTCCCTGCGCAACTGCCACTGCGGCAACGGAGGGGGGCAGTTTTAGTGAATATGGAATAATGGAATATGATATTTGGTTTGACTTTGGTCCTCTGTAGCTTGTATGTATCATGTTCTTAGTTCTTTGCGATGTTTACTACCCTTCAAACCCTTCTGTTTCTAAACAAAATTACTCCGTCTCTGTCTCCGTCAGAAATGACTTTGCACTCATCTACATGGGCACAAGCGAAGGCCTGTTGTTCAAGGAGAAGTCACAGTAGTTGATGTGTGTGTTGGCCCATTGTCGAACTGTTTCCTTCACCTGGTACTTGACAAGGTAATTGTTCAGGATACTCGTAATCCTGAAAAAGTTGAGGCTGTCGCCCCAGGCGGTAGCACCCTTTTCCTTGAAGATGAATGCCTCGAGAAAGCTGTCATACTGTGCGTTCCTTGTAGTCAGGCGGGTTCCACCCTCTGGAGAGCTGATCTTGTGCTCCCAAGCTTGCATTAGATCCTGAGCTTGATCTAATAAGTCCAACCATGTCTCTCCAAGTCCTTGATGAAAATCGTTGTGCATAGAGCAAAGCAATTGCCGGACTGCTGTTGGTGTCTTGCTTGACAATAGTCGAACCTCGAATGACTCCAATGGCAACTACAGGCCCTACATATAATATGCGTAATATATGCAATATACGCAGGTATCTTTTGATGTCACACTGTCACACTGTCACACTGTCACGAGTCACGAGTCAAATGTCAAAGAGCAACAATCGTTGGCTTTTAGGCGAGTTGCTCCTTCCAAGCCAGATGCCAGTGCCTTGATGACAAATGGGTTATCTGGTTCCCTTTGGATAGCCCGGAACATTGCCTCAGAGCGGTGGTTGTATGTGATAGCTTGACAGGGTGTAATCGCAGTAGAGGAGTGACTACACATCCACGCTCTGCCAGAACAATCCTGATTCAATCCAGACTGCAATATCCTGTCACAGTATGCCTCTGCCAAGGACTCCATCACTGGCCTGTTCACTGGATCTCTCTTGATGTTGCGATCCCCTGTTTCTTCGTTGAGCCACTTGATTGTCGTAACACCAGCTCCATACTTCTTGAAGATCGCTTCCACCAACAGGCTTCCCTTGAGGCCGACAAACTCCGGATCACACGGGTGATCATCAGCCCGTGCCATCTTTGCGTGAGCATGACCAGCTGCATCAGAAGGTTCGTTTTGGTCGACCTCTGTTGCTGGCCTTTTCATGCTTTCTCTCACACAGTCTCGCAGGGAATCACTAGTAGTGATGGAGCGAATCCGAACGTACCAGCCGTACCAGCCCAATGCCCACCAAGCAGTCCAACGTGATGGACTCTGATGGAGAACTGGAGAACTGAGAACACTAGAACCCAAATGTTGCACATCACACAGGACACATCATTACAAGGCTTGGCAGACGATAGATTAGACTGAACGACTGAACACAAATCAAACCGTTTCAGACCGTTTCAAATCGGTGCACTTCAAGTCTTTAAACTTTAAGTCTTTAAGTGACAGTGACATTGGCATCCATGTGGCGGTCAAATTGGCAAATCGAATCAAATGGTCAGCTGAGGCTGAGTCTTGCTTCAGATGTCTTTTATCTAACGTTAGTTAGACTTGAACTTGAAGGCATGCCACTCGGCCGGCCACTCGGCTGGGTGTCCAGACGGTCCAGTCCAAACCACAGCAGGAGCTGCGCGGCTGCGGCTGCGGAGTCCGAATCCTGGAAATGGTTAAAGTCCAATGTGACCAATGTGAGACAAGTCTGTATTACTGTAAGTTTAAGTTTTAACATTTAAAATGGAATGAATCATCATCTTACGTTACCTGTTACGAGTATGGTTCACTATACGACTGAGTCTACCGACTGACAATCAAATACAATGCTGCAACATGTAATAGTAAAATATAGCAAATCTAAAATCTGCAAAGGCAATGCAGCAATGCAAGCATTGCATTCAACTTCTGACTTCTTACTCATGACAACCGCGGACGTTTTGTGTCTTCTGCTCCAAACTTCTATCATAGTCGAGCCTGCTTCGCACTGTCACATACATATGAATACGGCGGTCTCATGCATATGTACAAATCGCCATCAGGTATCAGGTATGCAATGTGCGTATGTGGCGGCCGCTACTCCATGATTGAATTCTCGGAATGCAGCAAGCCTGAACTGACGAACTGAGCGCCGAGCGCAAGCAACCTCTAGGATCATACGCTGACACATGAAAAGGACATGTGATGACTTTATCACTGTATCACAGACCCCAAAAAAGTCGTAACTGCCCGTAACTGCAAACACTGGACTGGTCAGGCTGAGCAATCGCAGCAATCGGATATCGACGAATTAGATTTGAAATTGAATGGACATCAAGATTATGCTCGATGCACTGTAGAGACTGTACCTGTACCGCCATAAGGCCGTAGAACACATCACACCACACTTGGGTGGCAACTTCTTTTGGCTGCATGGAATCACTTGTCCGCAATGGCAATCGGGTCATACACACGTCGGAACATGGGACCCTGCTTGAACTGTCGACCTGGAGATTTCACGGAATGACGCCTCATCGTAGACATCGATTCCTTTTCCCCTTCCTCATCCACCAGCATCTTGCGCATCATGTGCAATCCCCTGATGGTTGGGCTTGGTCTTTGCACCTGAGATAATATCACGGCCACAGCCACAGCAACAACATGGTTTAACAAAAACAAATTGTAGTTGTTGCTGAAGTAGTCACTGCTCACTGCTCCCGTTACGTTACAGTCGTTAGACTAGTGGACAGTGGACCCTGACTCAGTCAGTCAGTCAGCTTCAAAAAGAAACAACTGAGAACATGACCTGTGCATACAGGAGCACGTACAGAATCTGCACAGTAATGGCACCCACATGCATGCTGTTCCCAGCCTGTGTCCGCATGGTTCGAGAAGACCTGGAAGGGTTTGGGAAATGGTAGCTGCTCAACTTCAAGCCCTTGTGCAAGACGGGATGCACGGGAAAGCCTTGTAGAAGCAAAGCCTCACTTCCACTGAGCCATCGCCCACACTTCCACATCAATTCTCCACCGGCTGGTCCGACCGTGTGCACTCCTGATCATAGCTGAGGCTGGGCCAAGGCTAAGTGTCCATTGTGATTATGATTATGATGATGACGTGGGATATTGATATTGGTTAATAAAGCAAAAAAAACAGGTGCAAACGCAGCTGAGAACTGAGAGCCTTTAAGCCCTTTATCCGTATCTCCATTCAAATTCAACTGCCACACCCTTTAAGCCCTCTACCCACATCCCTCTCCTTGCCCTTCACCGCTTTCGTTGGCTAATCCATCCGACCAAATAAGCCCAGCGTTCCGAATCAAAGTATGCATGAACTCTTCCGTGCTATGCATCGCAAACCCGGTTGCTCCATTCTGAGTCAGAGAGTAGCTCATGCCTGGAAAGCGCGTTCTGTAGGCCTGAAGTGACTTTCTCTCAAACTCTGTCAGTGCCTCCTCCCATGGGTTGTTTGTAACATTCTGACCTTTGCCTTCAGCATCGGCAGCATCGGCACGTGCGCGAACGGCAGCAGGCCTTGTCGTAGCCCACTTCAAGTCTTCTTCAAGTTCGTCCTGCTGAAAGTGTTACACAGAAACAATAAACAAGTAAGTAACAAGCCCAGGCTTAGAACAGAAACATTCAAAGAGGGTTGAACACATCAGTTTAAGTTTAACAAAACAAACACCAACAGGACAAACATGTCTTTGCATGCCTGCCGCGCCTGGTGGTCTTGACCAAAGAGATGCAGGCAGTAGAACTCCTTCCAACTCATCGAAGATTTACGTGTGAACCGCCTGTGGAAATCCGCAAATGGTTTGGCAGCGCTCAAATTCACCTTTGCTTTGTGAAAAAGTCGTGTCAGTTTGCGTTCCCGGTTCACGGGAAGGCCATACTCCCCTGCTTCCACATTGGACTCATCGATCACATACAAATGTCCGAGGAGACGATGCAAGACGCTTGTCGGGAACCTCTTCGAATTCTCATGAATGATGATGGGCTCCTGCAAGACTAACCTGTGGCCTAGCCAAACCAAGAATGGTAAAACAGTTGGATCGCGGAGCCCCAGCTGCTTTCCACAGGGCGAAAAAGCAACGCAGCTTGTGCCTGCAATGTGGAGCAATGCCATAGGCCTAAGCCAGAACCACTGAACCACACAAGCTTTAGGATTATTACAGATGTCACAGCATCTGAAAGTGTGAATCGTGTATTTGTATCCGGGCAACCCTTTAGCCCCAACCGGCCCAAGCAATCAAGCAATCACCAACAAGGCTAATAGCCAAGTGGATCAGTGGAATCCAGAATCCAGGGGGCAATAACAAAGATAGTCAAAACATGTGCCAAATCCAAATCCATCAAAGTGTCAAAGAGCAAGTCTTCTTGTGTTTGTAGCAGTAGGCCGACGTGACCACAGCTTCCCCATTTGCTATTTGCCCGGCAAGCACTTCCAATGCGAGCTCTGGACGCTTCTTTAGCTCGGAAATGGTCTCTGCCAAATGAGGTGAAAAAAAGTCACATAGATCACCGAATATGCATGCTTGGTGATCATTGACGTTGTCGAACAAAGCAAGCTCTGCCCGGCATGGCTCATCCCACTCGATTTGGAAAAGGACCTTCGGCTTTGCAATGGTTTTCTCATGGCCAAACATGCTTGCCATAGTACTCCTCAAGATATTGACCGTTGTTTCAGGTGCGCCCACACCCGAGTAAGCAGTTGAAATTGATAGATCTTCCATCCATTGGCATAGTTTGCCTTCACTGAGAAAGTCTTGGCGGCTGCAATTGGAATCTGGTGAGAAGTCCTCATCAGATTGGATCAAAACCTCTTCCACGGCATGCCTGAAGAAATCAAAGCCCTCTTTCATGTTTGAGACATGCCTTTGAGCTTCTGAGAAGCCTATGTTCCTATGTTTTTGAGGTTGGCATGCGGCAGGTGCGACAGTCTGCACAAGTACAGCAGAACTCTCTTCCACCACAGGAGGAGAAGGCTGAGAAGGCTGAGCATTCTGAGGAGGAACAGAGGTTGCATCTGTTGCTCCACGTCCACAATGTTCCGGCTCCGGCACAGAAGTGCCACGGTTGTGTTGCTCCGGCTGCGGCTCTGCCGCCACATCCTGCAAGTTGTCTAGTGGAACTTAGTTGAATACTTGAATATTGAAATTCAATGTATTTATCAAAATTAATCTTTATCCGGCCGGTTTATTTTGCCAAAACCACTCACCCCGATCCCACAAACAACCCCCGATCCTTGTTCAGTTCCTGTAAGAGTTTCCCCGTTGTCAATTTGACCACAGCATCTATATCTTTGGCAGGGCCATGATTGCCTACCACATCTTGAGCTGATGGTCGGCGGGTATTGATGTTGAACAACTCCGGATACTCTTCCTCTAGCGCTTCTTCTAAAGCAATGCAAATGTGTGGACGATGTCCACTGTCATCATCGTCGTCATCAACTTGTGTTTTCTTGAAGTTCTTGATAGCCTCAGTCTTCTCGGCCTCCGTGGTGGCAAGTCTGGTCAAATTCGGAACGGCATCCAGCAGCTTTTTGGATTGCTCCCTGGGATCAATGGGATCAAGTGGCTCAATAGTAGCTCGTGCCCGCTTTTGCTCGGGCTCAGGAACACAGCTAGGGACAGCCTCAGGCTGCTTGATCAACTTGATCGTGCTCTCTTTCTGATTCTCCCCCCTTTTAGCAGCATTGACTGCGTCGATGTCGGCATGTGAGTCCTTCATGTAGAAAGCCGTCCACACTTCCTGTTGGAGTTGGAGACAAGGAGTAAGTGAGTCAGTGAGTGAGCAAGTGAAATAATAAATAGTTCAATATCAACTACTGCATATCAATTATATATTTGTCTTTTTGACATATGATCCCGCCTGACCAGGACCAACTGCAATGTACAGCGGTGTCGGAAGGATCTCAAGTACTTTGATGTCCCACATGTAGAACCCACCTTTGTTTGATGACCACTTCTTTGATACCTCATCATATTCGGAACGGCTGCACCTGTGTCTGGCGAAGTGTGACTCCAAGTCTTTGTCATTCACAAAGGTGTTGCCGCCGAATTCAACCTTTGCCCTGATTCGGAAGACTCCTTTTCCAAATGAATCCTTTAGGCCAGACTCAACCAACCAGAACACACCGTTTTTTGGCACACAGCGGCACTGGAAATTGCGAATCTCAGCCGTTTTTCT